TAGACTAGCTGATGGAAGTGCTCTCTCTCTCTCATTCTGCCTCTCAAGTGATGTAAAAATAAATCTCAGAAAGATATTTACAGGGGCAGGCATTTAGCCTAGAGGTTAAGGTGCCCATGTGCCATACTGGAATGCCTGAGTTCAGCACCCAGTTTCAACCCCTGACTCCAGCATCCTGCTACTTCAAACCCTGGGAGGCAGTGGTGCTGGTTCAGATGGCTGGGTTCGTACTACCCACGCAGGAAAGCTGGATTGAATTTCTGTCTCCTGGCTTTGGCTCAGTCTATTTGTGGGCATTTGGGAATGGACCAGTGGATGGGAGCACTCTCGATCACGCTCTCTCTCTCTCTCTCTCTGCCTCATAGCTTAAAAAAAAAGTTAATTAAATATTTACAAAAGATTTTTAGTAACTTGTTGGAAATAAGTAAAAAGGAGAATATGGGCACAGGCATTGTAGCACCGCCAGTTGAGCCATTGCTTGTACCACCTACATCCCGTATCAGAGGGTCAATTGAGTCCCAGCTGTTCCACTTCTGATACAGCCCCCTGTTAATGCATCCTGGTAGGAAGCAGATGATGGCTCAAGTCCTCGAGCCCCTGCCACCCATGTGGGAGTCCCAGATAGAGTTCTAACTGCCTGGCGCTGAGCTGGCCCAGCCTTAGCTGTTATGGGCATTTGGAAAGAGAACCAGCAGATGGAAGATCTCTCTCTCTCTCTCTCTCTCTCTCTCTCTCTCTCTCTCTCTCTCATTCTGACTTCCAACTAGATGAAAATAAACATTAAAAAAAAAAAAAAACAGAAAATGCAGTTGTATTCAATAGAGGCAAAGGGGCAGCTGCTGCTAGGAAGGCTTCGTGTGTCAGAACTCCATCGAAGGCTGAAGACATGTGCCTCCATATTAACTCTAATAGTCCCAACTTCCTTGCTTATCCTGTGGTCAGGAATTTGGGACAAGAGGATTTTCCATCACATTTCGGGTTGTTTCCTATTAGGATGGCATTTCGTCAGCATTTTCCTACAATACAGGCTGGACACTGGGGACACCACGTTCAAGTGCTTGCTTGAGAACAGGTGAAAATGCCTACAGGCCACCTCGGCCACAGTTGAAAACACAGAGCCTGTGCCCCAGAAGCTCGGGCAGTAAGTCCAGGGGTGAGTCTGAGCCCACACCCGGGACCATGCCAGGTCTACTCCTGAGTGGGTTTCCTGGCAAGGGCTTTATGTCTCACTCCTGCAGAGGGAGGGAGGGGACCGTTCCCATCAGAATGCCCCGTGTGCACTGGCACACAGTAGCTGCAGTCATGTGGCAGAAGTACTTCTTCACACAAAGCCACAGCCATGGTCAGGAAGCATTGTCCTTTCACCAGCAAAAACCCTGGAGTCTGGTCCCAGGCAGGCTTGTTTTCATTTGTAATGAACGTTTTAGACTGTAGGGGTGTGACAAGTGCCAACTGCAGCAAGATCCTGTCTTCTAAGGGTGGAAATTTTGTGTTTTGCAGAGCATATTTGTATGTGCACACAGTGTTTGCCCTTGTGCTACCTGTCTCGGGGTCCTGCACCCCCAGAACAATAACTAAAGGCCCACGACACACTTTTATTCTACATTCTGCAGCCAGGCTCCGGCCACCTGCTGACTGGGGCGGCCAAGCGCTCAGGGATGTGGTGTCTCTGTGGCCAGGGATGAGGCGATGGGCGTGCAGGGCTCAGCAAAGCAGGAACTGTGGCTGCTTTCAAGAGGCTCTGCCAAGACCTGCACCTCTTTCCTGCTGTCCCACCCTTCTCTTGCCCTTGCGTCGGCTCCGGTCTGTGCACAGTTTTTGGGGGTAACTAAACTCCAGCTGCAGCCCGGTGCACCAGTGATCTTCATGTAGCCACATCCATCAGACTGCAGCTTTCCCATCCTTCCATGGGAAAAGCCTTACCTGGAGTTTTAGACACAGCACGTGTGACTTCATAAAGACAGGGTTTCTGGTGGTCGCAACACTGGTCATCTTGGGGCCACCATTGTACAGTGGGTGAAGCTGCTGCCTACAACACGGGCATCCCGTGTCGGAGCACTGCTTTGAGTCCTGGCTGCTCCATTTCCAATCCAGCTCCCTGCTAATGCGCCCAGAAAGGCCACAGAAGGTGGCCTAAGTGGTCGGGTCCCTGCCACGCACGTGAAAGACCCAGGTGACGCTCCTGGCTCCTGGCTTTGGCCTGACCCAGCTCCAGCTGTGGTGGCAATTTGGGGAGTGAACTTACAGATGGAAGATTTTTCTTTGTCATTCTATCTTAAAAAAAAAGAAAAGAAAAGAAAAGAAAAGAAAAGAAAAGAAAAGAAAAGAAAAAGCCCTAATCATTTAACTAGGGCTTAGCTTCGTTTAGAAAATTAATATTCTGGCCCATGCTTCACTAAGTTAGACAGTAAATCAAGGAATTAGCTTCATTGTTTTTTTAACCTGAAGATATGGGACAGGAGGGAAAGTTTGACCAAGAATTGCTGTGTGTTTTTTAAATTTGCTTTGAGAACAGTATAAAAAGAATACCACTTTCTAAATGTGCACTATTCACAGCCTATCAAGTCCTAAGACAGCTCTGGTTTTGTTTTTCTTTTTTTTTTTTTTTTTTAAGATTTATTTTATCTACTTGAGAGGCAGAGTTACAGACAGACAGAGGGAGAGATAGAGAAGTCTTCCATCTGCTGGTTCACTCCCCAAATGGCCACAACCATCAGGGTTGGACCAGGCCAAAGCTAGGACCAGTAGCTTCATCTGGATCTGCCATGTGGGTGGCAGGAGCCCAAGCATTTGGACCATCTTCCACTGCTTTTCCAAGCTCATTAGCAGGGAGCTGGGTTGGTAGGGGAACAGCAGGGTCTCAAACCAGCACTCCAACATGGGTTGCCAGCACTGCAGGCAGTGGCTCAGCCCCTGCTCCACAACACTGGCCCCCAGGCCAGCTCTTGATCAATTCCTGCGTTGACTCCCCTCCTGCCCAATCCTGGTATGTACAGAAAATACAGACTTACCTCAATACCAGCTTACATTAAATGCAATAATTAAAATAAAGCCACTGTGAGAATTAAGAGTTTTCTCAAACGCTCTCTCTCTCCTCTCCCTCTTTCTGTAACTCTTTCATTTTTTTTTAAAGATTTATTTATTTATTTGAAAGTCAGAGTTACAAAGAGAGAGAAGGAGAGACAGAGAGGTCTTCCTCTCTGGTTCACTCCCCAATTGGTTGCAACTGTGCCGATCTGAAGCCAGGAGCCAGGAGCTTCTTCCCAGTCTCCCACAGGGGTGCAGAGACCCAAGGACCTGGGCCATCTTCTACTGCTTTCCCAGGCCATAGCAGAGAGCTGGATCAGAAGTGGAGCAGCCGGGTCTCGAACCGGCGCCCATATGGGATGCTGGTGGTGCAGGCCAGGGCATTAACCCGCTGTGCCACAGTGCCGGCCCCGCTCTGGCTTTCAAATAAATAAGTCTTTAAACAGCAACAACAACAAAGATCTGAGCGTACGTTCCCCATGGGAGCTGCTGGATGTGCCTGATCCTGGAATGGAAGCCAAAGGAAGGAACGAGAGCTCCTAAATCTGCCCTGGATTGCTGCTCCTCGGGGCTATTGTGCACTCAGGTGCCACCTGCACATCGCAAGCACCTCCCCCCTGTTAACTCGGGACAGCAGCAGAGCTAGGAACCCCTGCTAGGATTCCCTCCGGACCCCTAAGAGCACGCCACTGATCAAACAGGATGGGGCGGGCCGTCCGCAGAGACTCGATTCAGAAAGTCCTCTGCTGGATAGAACAGGTTGTGCAGCGCAGCCTGCAGGAGATTCAGCCGAGCTGGTTTTGTTGAAAAGCTGTGGGATGATGCTGCCCTCTAGTGGGCGAGCAGAGCCATTGGTCTTGCCGCGTTGCTGTTAATGCTGCTGTCTTAGGTGGAGTCAATGTAGGGGGGTTTTTCCTGTAGAAGGAATTTGGATTTTCTTCTCTGTCAAACCCTCTGGCTTTGTCAAACCCTACTGACTCTGTTGGCCTCTGACCTTGGCCATCATTTGTCCATGTTAAAGAAGGGTAGTTTTCCTGTTCCTCACCTGCACGCAAATGCGCGCGCACGCACACACACACACACACACACACACACGAGGGGTCACTTCCCTAACAAGATCCCGGCTCCTAAAACTGAAGGTGGATCTTACGTCCTGTTCTTCCACAGCGTCTTCCCTGTGGTCCACTTAGGTGCCGTGAAGTGAGACGTTTGATGGGGATAGAAAGGAATTCTTTCCCACTACCCCCCGCCCCAGAAGAACCCCATCCCTCCTCCGCTGTTCCTAAAACAGCCTAATCTCCCCTCTCTGATCTGCAGTCCCTCCAGTGGCTGGATCACCCGAGTCCCTCGGATGGCTGCTAGAACTCCGTTTCCTGGGCCCGACTCCAGCCCCGCTGAATCAGCCTCTGTGGTTTGAGCCAGGAACTCTGCTTTACAAACTTCCCAAGTGGTTTTTGATGTGCAGCCAGGTTCAGCAGCCAACTGCGCTAAATCCCCATTTACAGTTCTTCCTTGGAGCTACTCCCCCCGCCCCAGCCCTGGCCCCCACGGTGTCTCCAAAGGTCTTCAGCTTGTGTCACTTATTAAAACAGACCATTCAGAGATGGTCCGCACACTCTTCCAGCCGGGTGACATGGGAAGGAGGAAGGGACCACAAGAGACAGACCAGTGGCTGACGGGGCAGGCTGTCGATCTGCGGTTTGTTGGTGACATTTGGTCTGGTGGCAGAGGCCAAGATTTACTCACCACCCAATGCCTTACTTTCACCCAAGTGAGAGGTTCTCGGGATGATGGTACAAGACAGGGGGCCTTGTTCCCTATGAACAGACGGGAAAGTAGGTTGATTTGCCCCTAGTCGCATGAGTTGGCCAACCGCTGGCTTCTGCACCCATGCTCCGGCCCGACTCCCAGGGCCACCTCCAGGGAGGGGAGAGGACCAGCATTTCCAACCTGCTCTCTTTCCGTCCCACCAGGCCAAGCGTGCAGTGCAGCGTGGAGCTACTGCAGTCATCTTTGATGTGTCCGAAAACCCAGAAGCCATCGACCAGGTAAACCCATCAGGCCATGCCGGTGCCCAGGTCTCCCTGAGAGGGCCACCCCTTAGCTGTCTCGGGGTGGCTGCAGTCATCTCTCCATCATCTCGGCTAGACACCCCAGAGAGGTTAAGAGCCAGGGAGTTTGGGGGGGATAGGGAGCATTTCCAAAGCCCCCTGGGGGCCTTCCACCTCACCCCTCTGGGAGCTGCAAGGCTATAAGGCTTGAGGATTTTGAGAATTTCCCTGCGGTGTTTAGCGGCCTTTTCCTGCAGTCTGTCTGTCTGTCTGTCTGTCTGTCTCTCTCTCTCTGGTTTCTCGAAGTAAGTGCATCTTCTAAGCACAGCCCCCTGTTCTCCCGCAGCTGAACCAGGGCTTGGAGGACCCGCTCAAGAGGCCGGTGGTGTACGTGAAGGGAGCCGATGCCATCAAGCTGATGAACATCGTGAACAAGCAGAAAGTGGCCCGAGCCAGGATCCAGCATCGCCCGCCCCGAGTGAGCCCCGCGCCGGCCAGCCTGCGCCTGGCACCCTCTCTGCTGCTACCCCTTGGGGCTCGGCACTTGGGGCCTTTGTGCCCGTCCTTTTCTGTCTAAAGTGCTGGCCTACCCCCAGGCTCCTGCAGGTCTGGCTCAGCTACTGGCCAGCAAGCTAGGGAGAAATCGCCCCCACAGTCTTCGACGTGAGCTGTCTGCACGGTCCTCCTAGGAGCATCATTGAGGCTAAGGTGCCGCCGGCGTCTTCCGCCTGGGGTCCCCTGTGACAGCCTCGTGGCCTCCTTTCTCCTCTGTCTCGTCCCCTCTGAAGGGCATACACAGGCCAGCACTCAGCACCCCCGCCTGCTCCTTCCACTTGCCCTCGAGGCTCACAGGGAAGGCCTGGACTTGCTTTTCCCCGCAGGGTTGAGGGTGCGGAGCGGAGCTCGCTCGTGTGAAGTTAGCTTTCACCCGGGATCGCCTCTTGGGGCTCGTGAGCTGTGCCGAGGCTCCCCTCGAGACACGTGCCGAGGAGACTCTGCCGTCCGTCACCTGTTGGTCGGCATCTTTTGCCCAAACCTCGGGCTGGAGGATTCTAGAAACACAGGACAGGTGCCCCATGCACACTGCCGCCTGCCCCGGGGGTCTGAACACAGATGCTCCCAGTTAGCACCCCCCCCCCCGCCCTGCCCCGCCTCGCCCCGGGCTCCATGCCCGTCCCAGGTGAGGTGGCGTCTGTGTTTAGGGAGACAGGGTGCTGTGAGGAGAAAGAACTGAAACCACAGGGAGTTTCCAGAAGGACCGACTTGCAGGCCACTTTTTCAAGGACCAAAAAAAAAAAGCATTTTGGTAAAAATGACTCATTGTAGTGGAAGCTGATATTTGTGGAGGCGGCGTTCAATCTGCTGAGTGATGCAAACTGTTCATCAGGGCTCCCAATCACTCACTGTTCGCTCAAAACGTGACAGTCTCTCCTTTGCTCCGGAAGTACGCTTTTTGTGTGTGTTTGGAGGGGCCCTGCTCCTCCTGGTTCTAGTGAGCTTATGCCACCCGTGAGGAGCTGGGCCTCCCACAGGGCTCCCCAGGCCATGGTGGGCAGGGGAGGGAGCCTGGCACATACCTCGGCTGGTCTCCCCTGGCCCCGAGAACGCACTACGCGCACATGTGTGTGTGTGTGTGATAGAGAGCTGCAGCCCAGGAGTTCCCCATGAGCGGGAGGCAAGCGTGCCCCACTCACCCCCTCCTCGTCCCCACCAGGGCCGCCAGCCCGGAGCCAAGGCCAGGTGTAACTCGCTGCTTTGTGCTCTCTTCCAGCAACCCACCGAGTACTTCGACATGGGCATCTTCCTGGCCTTCTTCGTCGTGGTCTCCTTGGTCTGCCTCATCCTGCTGGTCAAGATCAAGCTGAAGCAGCGCCGCAGCCAGGTACCGCCCTGGGGCCGCTGGAGCACCACTGGAGGCCAGGGTCCTGCGAGCTCACCGTGCTGCGATGGCCTGGGCCCAAAGATGGGGGAAAGCAAGGGCTGCGTGCATAGCAGCAGGCCCTCTGCGCCCCTCAGCAGGACCTGAGAGCTCGGGGGAAATGCTGGGTCTCGGGCCCCGCTCCCTGCTGAGTCCGGTTCTGTCTGCCAAGCTCTCTGGGTGATTGTTAATATAACTGTGACACTCAGCGGGCATGGCACCATGTGCTCGTAGGAAGGAAGGCTTTGGCAGGGAGGGGGCGTGGTGAGGGGCGGTGAGAGACAAGCAGGAATCCAGACTCAGATGCGAGGCAGGCGGCGCCTCGGGAGAGAGACGCTGGGTGGCGGTGGGCACCCTGCCGAGAGGACGCGCTCGGCCAGGTGCTCAGGACTCCCACACACACTGCCTCGGGGGCCAGCCTTGAGCTGGAGTGACCGCTCAAGAGTCCGGCCTGGCCTGCTAGAGACCCGTGCTCGCCTGGCCCAGCACAGTGAGCGCCACGGCCCCCGGGGCACGACGACCCGCCGTGAACGTGCCCCAGCCCCTAACAGCCAGCATTCTGCCCTGTAGAACTCCATGAATAGGCTGGCCGTGCAGGCCCTGGAGAAGATGGAAACCAGAAAGTTCAACTCCAAGAGCAAGGGGCGCCGGGACGGGAGCGGTGGGGCCCTGGACACACTCAGCAGCAGCTCCACGTCTGACTGTGCCATCTGCCTGGAGAGGTACACCGACGGCGAGGTAATGGCAGTGGCGTCCGGGGGGGGGGGGGGGGGGCGAGGCACGCCGCTCGGCACGCATGCCCGGCACGCATGCCCGGCCTGGAAGGACGGGGCCCCCACCTCCTTCTCCCGCGGCTTTGCAGCAGCTCAGAGTTCTCCAGAGGGTGGCCTCACCTGTTGTGACCTTAACCCCAGGGAGGGAGCGGCACGGCACAGACACCGTCTCCCAGGGACCCAGTTGAACACAGGGGATTTTCAGAAGTGGATCTGAGGCACGTGGTGTCTTCAGAAAGCTCAGCAAACTGTCTCATTGGTTTTTTAAGGTTTATTTATTTATTTGAGAGGTATAATTACAGACAGAGAGGGAGAGACAAAGAGAAAGGTCTTCTATCCGCTGGTTCACTCCCCAAATGGCCGCAACGGCCAGAGCTGGGCCGATCTGAAGTCCGGAGCCAAGAGCTTCTTCCCGGTTGGTCTTCTACACGGGTGCAGGGGCCCAAACACTTGGGCCATCTTCTGCTGCTTTCCCAGGCCACCAGCAGGGAGCTGGGTCTGAAAGAGGAGCAGTCAGGACTTGAACCAGCACCCATAAGGGATGCCGACATCACAGGCCAACCTGCTACACCACAGTGCAGGCCCTTCGTTGTATTTTTAAAAATGTTTTATATTTATTTGCAAGGCAGAGAGATGAGAGAGCTCTTCCATCTGCTGGTTTACTCCCCGAGATGCCTGCAACAGCCAGCGCTAGGCCAGGCTGAAGCCGGGAGCCAGGAGCTCCACGCTGCTTGCCCGTGCGGAGGGCAGGCACTCAGAACTTCATCTGAGTGCGTTAGCAGGAAGCTGGATCAGAAGCAGGACTCAATCCGAGGTCCTGGGCCGTGGGCCTCCCGCTGTGCCACATCGCCTGCCCCTCACACTGTGTTTTCATTCCAGTTTTCTACACACCTTTTGAAGCCCCCTCATACATTTCTGGTTTCAAGAAAAATGTATGGTTTCAAGAAAATTCACACGTAGGGCCCGGCGCTGTGGCATAGCAGGTAAAGCCACCCACCACCTGCAGTGCTGACATCCCATATGGGCGCCCGTTCAAATCCAGGCTGCTCCACTTCCAATCCAGCTCTCTGCTATGGCCTAGGGAAGCAGTGAAATATGCCCCAAGTGCTTGGGCCCCCGCACCCACGTGGGAGACCCGGAAGAAGCTCGTGGCTCCTGGCTTTGGATCAGCTCAGCTCTGGCCATTGCAGCCATCTGGGGAGTGAACCAACGGATGGAAGACTTCTTTTTCTCTCCCTCTGCCTCTGCCTTTGTAACTCTGCCTTTCAAATAAACAAATCAACCTCTTAAAAAAAAGAAAATTCACACATGTTGACCTTGTTTTAGAATTGTTCTGGAAACTCTGATGCTTACTTAGCTCAGTGTTTTTCCCTTAAACAAAAAAAGATACAAGGGATTTGACATCCCTTTTTTCTCTTGTAGCTCTTTATTTTGAAGTTTTCAAAGTTGCAAGAATAATGCCATGAAAGGCAGATGTCACTCATTGACCACAGGCCACGTTTGCTTGGTCTGTCTAGACAGATGCATACCCACAGAGATTCAGGGGCAGGGAGCCCACCACCTGAGACTTTCAGGCTTCGCCCCTTTGGTGGAAACACTCCCCCACTGTGTAGACTGGGGGGCGGTCTGAGTCTTTGCAGAACCCTTTTATTTTTTTCAATATATAGTCTTTATTTTTTATTTATTTATTTGACAGAGTTAGACAGTGAGAGAGACAGACAGAGAGAAAGGTCTTCCTTCTGTTGGTTCACCCCGCAAATGGCCGCTATGGCCAGCACTGTGCCGATCTGAAGCCAGGATCCAAGTGCTTCCTCCTGGTCTCCCATGGGGTGCAGGGCCCAAGCACTTGGGCCATCCTCCACTGCCCTCCCAGGCCACAGCATAGAACTGGACTGGATGAGGAACAACCGGGACAGAATCCGGCACCCATATGGGATGCCGGCACGGGAGGCAGAGAATTAACCTAGTGAGCCACGGCGCTGGCCCCCAGAACCCTTTTAGAACACCAGATTGCTTCCTGGACTCCGCACGCTGCCCCGGCACATTCTGGCATCGCGGTCCTGGGCAAGTGAATTCCTCCTCCGTGTCTCCTGCAGTCGCGCCACGGGCCTGCGACCTCCTGCACTCAGCAGGCTCGGTGGCGGGCGTAGGTCGGAACGTTGCCCTGTCGGCCCGGTCAGCAAATGAGAAGACGAAGCCCAGATGAGCACATGGAGGGCTTCTCAGGCTCAGGAACCCCGGAGGCGGTCCCACTCAGAGGACCCCAGTCATGTTCCCTCCACCTAGGCCGTGCTGACGCTCAGGGTCTGGCACCTGCCTTTCTGCTCGTGGCCATTTGCAACACCTGGAGGCAGCCACCATCCCCAAGCCACATAATATCCTGGGGTGCACCCAGCCCTGGCTCTGCACCCCAGCCCTCTGTCTGCACCCCAGGCCTCTCATCCTCTCTAGCACAAGGCTTCGTCCTTTCCCATGTGCAGGCATGAGTGTGCGTGCCTCCCTCCAACTGCAGGAAAGGAGCCTGCTCCCCTGTGCTCCTGGGCTTGGAGCTGGCAGATGGGTGGTTTCCTCCTCCCGGGAACCCACGCGTGAGCCCTGCCTCAGTGAGGAGCCGAGGCGTAGGTGGAGGTGTGGAGGAGGGTGGGGCGAGGGTCCTTAGTCCACGCCAGGCTCTGCAGGAGGAAGCGCGGGGCTGAGGCAGAAATGCCCGCACCGTGCCCTCCCTTCACGCTGCGTCTCCTCTCGCCCTCCGCAGGAGCTGCGGGTCATCCCCTGCACTCACCGGTTTCACAGGAAGTGTGTGGACCCGTGGCTGCTGCAGCACCATACCTGCCCACACTGTCGGCACAACATCATAGGTAACGGGCCCCGCCTCCGGCTCCGTGGAGGGGTTGGGTCAGAGGACACCGTCCATTTAGGAGAGAGCCTGGCGTTAATAACCACTGGGGTGCAAGTTTGGGCTGCACGTGAACCAGTTGCCCCAAGGCCCCCCGTCTCCTGTGGCCCGAGAGTAAAGATGCCCACCCATGCCCAGGGCCACGCGGTCGGGGGAGTGCGCCGTGCCAGGCTTGCCTCCCTCGCTGTGGGGCAGGGAGATGCCTTCCCCTTTGTACCCCATTGACCTCCGCATGCCCACGTGGTTCCTTGTCCAACACAGCAGTGGGGAGGTGGAGAGTGGGTCCTTGCAGGAGTGGCGCAAGTCCACGCCGCCCCCCAGCACAGCTTAGAAGTGGGCAGGCTCATGAGAATGGGCACCTTGGCCTGTGACCCAGGCCACTGCCCCGGGCGCTGTCCTCTTCCCTCTCCCGAGCGCCCAACACCGGCCTGCTCAGCTCTGCTTTTCTCCCCTTCTCCCCAGAGCAAAAGGGAAACCCGAGCGCTGTGTGCGTGGAGCCGAGCAGCCTCGCCCGGGGTCGGCAGCAGAGGGTCACCTTGCCGGTGCACTATCCCGGCCGTGTGCACAGGACCAACGCCATCCCAGCCTACCCCACCAGGACGAGCATGGACTCCCACGGGAACCCCGTCACGCTGCTGACCGTGGACCGGCACGGGGAACAGAGCCTCTACCCTCCGCAGACCCCCGCCTACATCCGCGGCTACCCACCCCTCCACCTGGACCACAGCCTGGCCGCCCACCGCTGCGGCCTGGAGCACCGGGCCTACTCGCCAGCCCACCCCTTCCGCAGGCCCAAGTTCAGCGGCCGCAGCTTCTCCAAGGCAGCTTGCTTCTCCCAGTACGAGACCATATACCAGCACTACTACTTCCAGGGCCTCAGCTACCCAGAGCAGGAGGGTCAGCCCCCCGCCGGCCTCCCTCCCCGGGGCCCAGCCCGTGCCTTTGTGCCCGGTGGCGGCAGCGGTGGCGGCGGCGGCAGCGGTGGCAGCTTGCTCTTCCCCACCGTGGTGCACATGGCCCCGCCCTCCCACCTGGAGAGCGGCAGCGCGTCCAGCTTCAGCTGCTACCACGGCCACCGCTCGGTGTGCAGTGGCTACCTGGCCGACTGCCCGGGCAGCGACAGCAGCAGCAGCAGCAGCAGCTCCGGCCAGTGCCACTGCTCGTCCAGTGACTCGGTGGTGGACTGCACGGAGGTCAGCAACCAGGGCGTGTATGGGAGCTGCTCCACCTTCCGCAGCTCCCTCAGCAGTGACTACGACCCCTTCATCTACCGCAGCCGGAGCCCCTGCTGCACCAGCGACGCGGGGGCGTCCGGCGGCTCGGGCCGGGGGCCTGCCCTGCGCCTCGAGGGCTCCCCGCCGCCGCTGCCGCCCGAGGAGCCGCCGGGGGCAGCGCATCATGGTGCTGGGCGGGCTGAGCCCTGGCCGGGCCCCACCTCGCCCGCGGGGGACCAGCTGTCCATGTACAGCCTGGACCTGAACTACAGCAGTAGCTCCTCCCTGGAGCACAGGGGGCCCAACAGCTCTACCTCAGACGTGGGGCTCGAGGCTTCTCCTGGGGCCGCCCCGGACCTCAGGAGGACCTGGAAGGGAGGCCGCGAGGGGCCGCCATGTGCCTGCTGCTGCGAGCCCCAGCCCCCGGCGCGGGGGTCGCCCCTCCAGGAGGGCTGCAGCCCCGCGGGTGGGGAGCCGCAGCCGGGAAGCTCCTTGTATGGCCTTCGCCCCAACCGTTTGCCCAGGACAGATGGGGGGAAGTGTGAGGGCCTGCCCTGCTGCTTCTATGAAGAGAAGCAGGTGGCCCACGGTGGCAGAGCGGGCATCGGCTGCTACACCGAGGACTACGCGGTGAGCGTGCAGTACGCGCTCGGGGAGGAGCTCCTGCCCGGCTGCTCCCCGGGCGCCCGGGACCTCGGCCAGCGCATCCCCATCATCGCCGAGGATGTGGACTCTGACTTGGGCCTGCCCCCAGACCACCAAGGGACCCAGAGCCTCAGCCCCTGGGGGCGGCCGCCGGCCCCAGACGTCCCCTGGCCCCATGGCAGTCTGGAAGCAACCCGGGAAGAGGAGTGGGCCCCGTGCTGTCAGGCCGGAGTGCCGCTGCCGCCCGGCTGCCGTGCGGAGGAGGCGGGTGCCGCCTCTGCCAGCTTCCCCCGTGCCCCCCAGGACACTCAGGAGTCGAATGCCATGGCCACTGAGGCTGCAGGTGAGAGCAGGAGACGGCGTGGGCCAGAGCAGGCGTCCCCGTGCGGGCTTTGCAGATGACTTCCTGTGTGCCCTTGGCTCTGATCACCATGCGTACCCGAGGACGTCCAAGTGTCACTCCCCAGCCCGGCCCTGCCCGCTAAGTTGCAGACCCGTCACACCGTCTGCTCCCATGACCTTGTGATCACACCCCCTAGATACCCCCGAGGATCCCAGCCTGTTACGTCCACTGTCGCCGGCCCCACGGTGCAGCCCCATTTCCTCCCACGGGTCTGTCCCAATTGGAAGCCGGAATGGCCCTCTTTTTTTTTTTTTTTTTTTCTTTTTGAAACATAAATCCATGTCCTTCCACTTTCCTTCAGTAACTTGCCATTACCCTTAGAACCTTCTAAATGTGGCTGACCGCCTGGCCTGGTGCTGTGTGTCTCGGCTCCTGTGCACCCACGCAAGCCACTCTTGTTCCCCTGGACCCCCTACTTTTTTTTTTTTTTTTTTAAGATTTGTTTATTTATTTGAAAGCCGCTGGCAGAGAGAAGTCTTCCCTCCGATGGTTCACTCTCTAGATGGCCGCAATGGCTGGAGCCCCATGCTGGCACAGGGGCCCAAGCACTTGGGCCATCTTCCACTGCTTTCCCAGGCCACAGCAGAGAGCTGGATCAGAAGTAGAGCAGCTGGGACTCGAACCTGCGCCCATATGGGATGCCAGCACTGCAGGCGGTAGCTTTACCTGCTACACCACAGTGCCACGCCTACCCCCACCCTGTCCCTCTTGCTTGCTGCTCTTGCCCCCGCGGCCTCAGTCCTGGCCCTGTGTCACCTGCGAAGTCATCCCAATCCCAAGTCCCTTTGCATCGGGGTCTATAAGTTCTGCTACGGCGTCCTTGCTGGAGCTGGACACACGCGGGGCTCCCAGTTCCTATCTCTTCGCTATGCTGCATTCGGTCTGAGCTGAGAGCTGCCCCCCGCTGGGAATGGGGCACCCAGCCCCTCACCTGGTCCCAGTGCACTGTGCACCAAGCCCGCGGTGCCGACTCCCTCCCCTGATGATTGTTCTCTCTCTCTCTCTCTCTTTTCCAGGACCAGGACCTGGCCCAGCAGAACACAGCAGCCCGGGAACCTGAGCCCAGAAGGAACTCTTATCTGGAAATGGGGAACTGGACGGAGACTCCATACTCTAACTTCCTTCAAAAAAAACAAAACAACAAAAAAAATTTTTTTAGCTTTGACAAACACACAAAAGTGGTAATAAAGAGAGCCCTCCTCAACCCAAAATGTGAGCCACCTGTGGCAAAAAAAACCCACCCCCCCACCCCACCCCTGTAACGAACCAACAGCCCCGACTCTAGTCCTTTGCCTCTTTTGATAACATGTCACCCTTCAGTTTTGTAAAGTGTGTGTGCTTGGGGTTCCGAGGTGTGTGGGATTGAGTTATCTGCTTTTTCTTTTAAAGATATTATATGTAAATGTAAAAAGTTATTTAAATATATATTTTAAAGAACCCTAATCGCCAACTTTTGCTGAAAAAGAGAAAAAAAAAGTCACTGCTGCATTAAATGAACCAGATCATGTGTCGATACTGTTGTCTCCCCAGAGGGAGCTCAGGCCTTCGAAAAGCTCAGGGCAACACCTGCCTTAGGAACTGAACCAGAAACTTGAAGTAAAGCGAGGTGATATGGGTACAAACTCTGGGGAACCGTGCAAAGCTGCCTCTTTGCTGTTTCTCTGGCAAAATCCCAGTGTCCGAACTGTGGGGACCTCTGGGAAGGCACCCCTCTCCGGCCCTCCCCCTCTGCAGGTTATGGAAACCAACGAGCCAGGAAGAGGCCGGAGCCCAAGGTGGGGGCTGCCCGGGAGCCTGTCTGTCCCTTGGTCCCTGTCACAGTAAGGGCAGTGTTTCTGGGTGGGTGGGTGGGTACTCTATCTGAACTCTGACCCCTGGGGCAGGGGAGAGGAGGCTGCACCCCTTCTCAGCCCTTTATAAAAATAGTCTGGGCTTCCGGCCCCTGACTGCAGAAGTGCTTGGACAGGGTGCATGGGGCACACGCCCAGGAGGAATGTAGTTTCGTGGCCTTGGTGTCCGATGGGGCTGGGTGGGAGCCATGTCCACCCCACCAGCCCGGCACCACGGGCGGGAGGACGCGTGTGGGTCCGTGTGGGGCAGCTACGCCCTGGCCCCGGGCTCGTGGGGTCTGCACTGAGCTCTGACCGATCCCTTTTCCCGCCGTTAGGCCCTCGGCCTCCGGGCTGAAGGTGCTCTTGCGAACGTCTACTATCGCGTCTCCCGAATGCACTATTATGTACTGATTCTCCATGAGACCCAAGGGGAGGTCTGTATATCTTCCCAGCTTTTTGTGTGTTGTTAAGGGGGGGAGGGGGAGTTTAAGAACCCAAACCGTGTTTTTGTTTCTAAGATGTTTTCATTTTGAAAAGGGAGAATCTATTTAAAGCTATCTCAGATCAGGGATCATCATCTTTTTTGTCCAATGTATTCCTTGTTCTTAAAAAAAAATTTTTTTTTAGAGGAAACTAATCGCATTAGGCCTTGTGTTCACTAACCCTTCATTCATTGAGCAAGGGTTTCCCGCCATCTGGGGAGCCTGGCCCGCGAGGAACCCAGGGACCCCCCCCTGGGTGGCCAGACTGACCCCCCGTACCCCGGCAGGCGCACGGGAAGGAGTCAGCCCAGGGTTCAGACCAGAAGGTTTTTAGTAAGAATCTCGCTGTATCAGAAGAATTTTCCTGAAAACTTCAGCCTAGGATGAAAAAAAATTTTTTTAACTTATTTCCAGTCATGCTTTGGCACAAAGGAATTCCAGGATCGAATGATGGAGCCATTTGCCATTTAGGACCTGTTTGGGGGGGGGGGGTTCTGCCGCCCCTGGGTGCAGCCCCTGCAGGCTGGGCCCTGCGCACCTGTTGGCGAGGGTGTGGGAAGCGCCGAGCTGCTGACATGCGATCCGGGCCGCCTTTATTCCTGGGGCCAGGAGGAGCAGCTGCCCAGGGCGACAGCTTGCATTGCGGATTTTAGGGAAGCAGGGGTACTTTCAACGGGAACTGCAAAACGCAGCTTCTCATTGTTGAGATTTTTGTTTGTTTGTGGTTTTGCTTTTTTGTTGTTGATGCCTTTGAGTCGGGATCATCTGGCTTCCTTTAGCTTGGGCTGGAAGGCCACTCCTCAGTAGCCTTAAGCAGTAAATGGATGTGGCTCCCACTGGACTTAGTAAAACAAATGCATCCGATTTCAAAGAAGCACATTGAATACTTAGAATTTACAGGTGGCAGAAACAAGAATGAAAACACAGAACTTTAGATATCAACCATCGCCTTTTACACTTGTGCCAGCGAAGCAGACAGGGAGGGTCCCAGAATAAAATCGCCCAACTCTCCGACTGTGTCACCATGGGAATCGAAAGAAAAGTCGTCTTTGAAGCCATCAGACTCCAATAATGATGTGCGCTGGACTCGGAGTGGCTCCACGGCCGTGGAACCTGGGACATTTCCCACCGAGAACCACCCCATGCCCCCAAGTCAGGGTGTCCCTGTGGCCCACCCCCAGTCTTAGTGTAAACGGAAGAGGTCTAGAACCAGCTGAAAATGGAAACTTGGGTTTTCCAACCCGCAAGGTACCTCCGTGTGGATGGAGCCCGGGGGTGGCTTTCCGCCCCTCAGCCCCTCCCCTCTCCTCCAGCTCCATCTGCTGCCTCTGCTCAGTGCCCCCCTCCACAACCCCTTCCTGCCTCTGGTCTCTCAAGTTCGTGCAGGACTAATGCTTTTAAAATGAGATCTAAAGAATAATTACTAGTCCAGAGTACTGTTTTGTAAACAGAACTGCCTTTTTCTACTCTTTATATAAACTCTTTCTATTGTGTTGGTCTAACAAGGCACTATTTTTTAATGTTTTCTTAAAATTTTTTTTCTCCCATAGCACTTAAAAGATATTTTGTAAAGACTTTGCTGTAAAGATTTTGTAATAAAATGGTCTAAGGGCTCTTTTTTCCAACATTACCATTTAAAAAAAAAGTTTTAAAAGCTAGAAAACAACTTATGTATATTCTGTATATGTATAGCAGCACATTTCATTTATGGAAATATGTTCTCAGAATATTTATTTACTAATATATTTATCTTAAGCCATGTCTTATGTTGAGAGTGTGACATTGTTGGAATAATCATTGAAAATGACTAACACAAAACCCTGTAAATACATGATAATTGCACACAGATTTTACATATTTGCAGACCAAAAATGATTTAAAACAAGTTGTAGTCTTCTATGGTTTTGTAACAAATTGTACAAATGACTGTAAAAAATATATATACGATTTTATCAACGATGTGTTCTGGGCTGTCATTAGTGTAAGGGTATCTAGACTCAACGGAGAGGTTCACTTGGGCCAGGGCCAGTGCTTCTGCTTGCCCTTCTCTCCTGTTAACATCAAGTTCATGGTATGGGGATTCCGGTGGTGGCACGGGAGAGCACCCCCTAGAGGCCCCGGGAGGTGGGATAGGCTTGCTGTTCGGCCCTGGGTGGAGGGAGCTAGGGCCAATGGCAGTCAGTGACCAAGGACCTCATAGTCCACTGTTTGAAAACAGGGAACACAGCATGGATGTACGCCATGGTTTCACCTGCCCCTTCCCTTGTAGGGAAAAATAACCTCTAGGGACCTGCATGGCGATGCAACAGGGTAAGCCTCTGCTCACGATGTCGAAGCACTCGTTTGAGTCCCAGCTGCTCCACTTCCTATCCAGCTTCCTGCTAATGTGTCCTGGAAGGCAACAGACAATGGCTCAAGTAGTTGGGTCCCTGCCACCCACCTAGGAGATCTGGATTGAGTTCCTGGCTCCTGGCTTCCACCTGGGCCCAGCCCTGGGATGTTGCTGCCATTTGGGAAATGAACCAGCAGATGGCACATTCTCTCTCTCTCCCCCTCTCCCTCTCTCCCTCTCTCCCTGTCTCTCTCTCTCTGTTGCTCTGCCTTTCAAATAAATAAATACATCTTTCAAAACAAAACTCCAAGCCCACAGCCCTCAAGATCACCTGATCATCAGTGGGTGGGGCCCTTTGTCTTGAGTGGGAGCCAAGTCTCATTTGCAAAGCACTCCAATTGCACGGACGGGGAAAGGCAGGGTTTATTTTTCAGACAACTCCCAGAGAACACCCTAATCCCAGGAGTGCCTATTTTTTGCACTTTAACTTGGGCCACTTCTTGGGCGCAGGCTCCTCGTGGACACCCAGCCACTTCCTGCCCAGCAACAGGTCCTCTTGCGCACCTTCGGGGCCGGCGCCTTGGCCGTGCAGGGCCTCCCAAAGCTTCTGCTTAATGGTCTTGCCCAGCTCCAGGCTGTACCTCTTGGGGGTTCCCGAAGGATTCCACAGCAGGGGTTCCACCACAGCGTGGTACAGAGCCCGGTAGCCCTCGGCGGGGAGGCCGTGGATGGTCAGCGTGTCCTCCGACGGCGGCAGCCTCCTCTGGGTTTCTGGAAGCAGCGCCCAGCCCTTCCAGGCTGCTGTCCTGCTGTCCCGAGGTAGCACTTGGGTGGCGGCCACATGCTCGGCATATCTGTCCAGGAGATCTTGGCGGACTGCTGCCTTTTTCTGCTTTGAACTTTCTTTACTCTGGCCAGGAAGAAAGCAGAGAAGTCAAAGCTAAAACTGGAGCAGGGACTCAGAATAATCATCTGGGATCCGTGTCCCAGAGTCTTGGTTACAGCAACTACTAACATTTGTCTAGTGTGTTCCAGTCTCCTGGCTCCCTGTATATATGCCGTAGCCCTGTAAGGTCAGCGGGAGGCGGCCTTAAAAAGCAAGGCAGTTGGGGTTGGGCTTGCCCAAGAACTCACAGTTAGAAGGTTAATGACCACAGCTGTCATCTGTTGACTGCCACGCAGGATCCTAATTATTTACTCCATGCCAAGCTGTGTTCAAAAGCCTCCTGCACATATTAACTCATTTAATCTGCATGAAGCCCTACAAAGGAAGGGCTATAATCCCCTCTTTTACATCATAAAACCAAGGACAAAGAGATGAAACTCAAGGTTGACCTCAATTAGAGTCAAAGTTGGGATGGGGACCCTGCCAGCCTCACTCCAGGGCACACCCTGAGCTCCGCTGCCCACCACGAGGTGGGGAGCCGGGATTCGGGTCAGACCTCTGGCTGCCGAGGTCTCCACGTTCAAGGCCACCGTCGGGTCTCTGAGGCGGATGCACGCGTGAGCACACACTTCCCGCACCCCAGCTGCCTTTCTCACCCCCACTCTCCCTTCACCGTCAAGCTCCTTTGGTCTGTGTTTCTGAAAGCCACTTCATCTTCTGTAGAGGTAGGCAGAATATAAACAGCAAGTAGCACAACCCCAAATGTGGTGTGCGCCCTTCTCTGTTGTGGGGCGCCCCTACACCCCCAGCCCATCTTTAGCCTTAGCACTTCCTGCCTTTGGGAGACCGTGCCTAAAGGTCAAGTGTACCTGACCTTGACCTTTTGCCTCTCCCTGCCCATCACATTTCCTCCACCACTGGCCAATGTCTACCTCTCCAATGCCTCCTGCAGGCCTCCTGCACCCTGGTGAACTTGGCAGCTGCTCTGCGGGCTGCTTGCTTCTGGAACGGATGGAGTTTCTTATCCTGACCCGTGGGGTGACTTTCGTCACCGAATTGTCCTTGGGCTTTAATCTCTTCCTGGGTTTTGCTTCTCCAAGCTTGCATGGTACTGGGAAGCGTTTATCTTCCAGTTGCCGCCTGAGCACCAGCTTAACCAAAGAGAATGAACTGACAATTAGCGGGTCCTGGACAACTTCCCAGCAGGAGGCAGTACCTGGGGCTGGAGCGTCGATGTTCTGATTCGCCCAGTTGCTGGTGAGAGCTGGCGAGTCCACATAGCAGTCCTGGAACCTCGTGTTCAGTAAGATACACTGGCGGAGCCCATAGGTGAGGAGGCTGGGGTCTCGTCTCACGTAGATTGGATGCTAGAATTATAAGGGGGAAGAAATGACCAGTTCTCCGAGACCAGGTTGACTTTGAAGGCAAAATATCAGTATCTTATGAACCATTCCTTCCACTCTGCTGTTAGACATCTTGCTATATGTCCTCTCTCCTGCTCACCAAAGCCTATCGCTAGCAGGGAAGAGATCATAACTGCACAAGGTCAAAGTACCATTCAGGCTCTCAAAGGACATAGCCTGCTGGGGCCAGCAGTCTGGGGTCAGGGAGGGTTCACAAGGAATGAAAGGCAACTCCCATCTGCTGGAGAGACCAGGGAATCTGTGGCAGAAAATGGAGGCAGGGCCATTCAAGACCTCTCTATGAGGGGTGAGTGTTGGGCACAGTCAATGCTACTTGGGACGCCTGCATCCCACATCAGAGTGCCTGGGTTCAAGTCCCAGCACAGCTCCTGACTCCAACTTCCTGCCGGTGTGCACCCTGGGAGACAGCAGGTGACAGCTCAAATCTTTGGGTTCCTGCCACCCACATGGGAGACCTGGACGGGGTTCCCAGCTCCAAGCTTCAGCTTGGTGCAGTCCCGGCCATTGCAAACATCTGGGGAGTGAACCAGAGGACAGCAGCTCTGTTTGTCTCTCCCTCTTTCTCCCTCTCTGCCACACCCCAACGACACTTTCTAATCACACTGTGTTGAGCCTAGAGAAGCTGCTCATATACAGCAGGGAACTGGGATCCATAAAGGCAACACACAACGTAAATGATGCTTGGGACCACCCAAGAACCAGAGAACAATTTGAATAGTTAAGAATCGCGTACTCAAAGTGACCTGTCTTTTTAAAAAATGTCGTCTATATAAAACGAAGTCATAGGGGCTGGCGCTGTGGCACAGCAGGTTAGCCTGCAGTGTATCAGCACTGGTCTGTGTCCCGGCTGCTCCACTTCCGATCCAGCTTCCTGCTAATGCGCCTGGGAGAGCGGCTGCAGATGGCCTAAGTGCTTGGGCCCCTGCACCCATGTGGGAGGCCCGGATGGAGTTCCAGGCTCCTGGCTTCAGCCTGGCCCAGCCCTCAATAGGCCATCTGGAGAAAGAACCAGCAGATGAAAGATTCTTTCTCTCTCTCTCTCCATTCTCTCTCTCTCTCTCTCTCTCTCTCTCTCTCTCCCTCTCTCTCTCTCTCCCTCTGTCTCTAACTCTGCCTTTCAAATAAATCTTTAAAAATTAATTAAAAAATAAAATCACCTTACCATATTTCAGTTGCCTTAAATTTTATTTTTGCTAGCTTAGTAGGGGGAAGAAATATGTATTTTCTTTTTCCTTTCTCTTTTGCTTTGCTAGAATATTTCTAGTCACCTTTCTCTGCCGCAGTCATGTGTGGGCAAATCGCAGTTTGTTTAGATTTTGGCTCAGTGCAGGCAGTTTTGAGCCATTATCTCTAGTATTTGTGATGTCACTCTGGTTTGTGATGTGGGTGTGGGTGAGTGTTACATCAGCGGATTTTATAGTGAAATTGTGATGGGAGAGAATTTATTTTGTTGGACTCCTAGCCTCGGGACCTCCTGAAGTTCTCATTTCCCCCAGAAGGGCTTGAGTGGTGAACTTTGAGGATCCTAACATGCTTAAGAAACACGCTTTGCATGAAAGGCGGTGAAAGGGGCTTGTGCCCTGGCATAGCGGGTAGAGGCGCCACTTGCAGTGCCGGCATCCCATATGGGTGCAGGTTCGAGTCCTGGAAGCCCCTCTTCTTATCCAGCTCTCTGCTATGGCCTGGGAAAGCAGTGGAAGATGGCCCAAGTGCTTGGGCCCCTGCACCTGTGTGGAAGACCCGGAAGAAGCTCCTGGCTCCTGGCTTTGGATTGGCTCAGCTCTGGCCATTGCGGCCAACTGGGAAGTGAACCAGCAGATGGAAGGCCTCTCTGTCTCTCTCTCTCTCTCTGTAACTCTGACTTTCAAATAAATAAATAAATCTTAAAAAAAAAAAAAAAGGCAGTGAAATATACAGAGCAGAGCCCGGCGCTGTGGCGTGGCAGGTTAACCCTCTGCCTGCAACACTGCATCCCATATGAACAGAGCTTCAAGACCCCCCGCTCCACTTCTGATCCAGCTCCCTGCTAGCTTGCCTGGGAAAGCAGTGGTAGTACTTGAGTCCCTGCACCCATGTGAGAGACCCGGATGGAGTTCTGCCTCCTGGTTTTGGCCTGACCCAGCCCTGGCCGTTGTGGCCATTTGGGGAGTGAATCAGTGGATGAAAGACCTCTCTCTCTCTCTCTCTCTCTCTCTCTCTGTCTCTCTCTCTTTCTGTAACTCTGCCTTTCAAATAAATCTTTAAGAACAAGACACAAATCAGGCGTATACAGACCAGACCCGGATCCGGGTAGCGAGGTGCATCCTTCCAGGTGCCCAGGTACCCTCCTCCCTGAGCGTTAAGAAGGTGCTGTTCCCGTCTCAGAGCAGCTGCCAAGGTTAGGGACCAGAAACCAAAGAACCCGCGCCTGCAGCCCTGGGCACCGCTCCTGTGCGTCTCTCCCGGGGAGACTACACGGTTTCTGGAATGCGGTTTTATTTGACATCCCATGGCAAATGCAGTAATGAGAGCTCTTAGCAGAGGACTGGAAACAAGAACAGAGACGCCTCTTCCTGGCAGCTCTGAGCAATGCCTCGCTCCTTATCAGGAGCCCGGCCCGTGGGCGGTGTTGCTGTTTCATCCACAAGATGCCAGCGGAGCCTCCCTCCCCGGGGCACGGAGAGGGAAATGATGGAAAAACAGAGGCGCAGTCTGGCAGGGGCTCCTGGAACCGCATGTGCTGCCCGTTGGAACCTCCGAGTGCTGTCCCTGCCATGACTCAAAGCCTGCGTGTCTACGCACCGCGGGCCGCGGGCGGCAGCTGGCCCCACAGATACTGGGAGGGACAATGGCGCCCATTCAGTGCCCAGCCCTGGCCTCACCTCCCAAGAGGTGGGTCGGTTTTAGAGCAGGGTGTTGGACAGGCAGGGTCTCCGGGAAGGGTTTGTGAGTGTCTGGAGACGGGGCAGGCAAGTGTCCTCTCAGAGCTGGCAAATCTTGGGCGAGATGGCACCAGGCTCTCGGGCCACCTGGAAGTGACCGGCTCTGCCTTCACCCTGCGAAGGGGTCCGCAACGGAGGACCAGGGCAGGGGCTCTGTTGGCTCTCGTCTCTCCTCCTCCGCCCTGAGCTTGGCTTGCCCGTACTTTCCCACACTGCTTTCCCAGACACTCATGCACTGTATTTATTTTCCCAGACCTTTTACTCAATAACCAAGTGACACTGCTCTGGCTCGGAGGAGCTCTTGGCTTCTTCTTTGCCTAGGACAGAAGTGTTCTTGTGGGCGGCCCTTGATATCCATCTTCAAATTCGGGCAGATTCTGCCTTCTCTTCCTTTGTCAACTCACTATCATCGTATCAGGAAATGGTCGCGACATTCTTAGGAGTTTGGGAATTGCTTCCACCCCACCTTAAGGATGAAGAAAAGGAGACCATGGCCGGCACCGCGGCTCACTAGGCTGATCTTCCGCCTGTGGCGCTGGCACCCCGGGTTCTAGTCCTGGTCGGGGCACTGGATTCTGTCCCGGTTGCCCCTCTTCCAGGCCAGCTCTCTGCTCTGGCCAGGGAGTGCAGTGGAGGATGGCCCAAGTGCTTGGGCCCTGCACCCCATGGGAGACCAGGAGAAGCACCTGGCTCCTGGCTTCAGATCAGTGTGGTGCGCCGGCCGCAGAGGCCATTGCGGGGTGAACCAACGGAAAAAAGGAAGACCTTTCTCTCTGTCTCTCTCTCTCTCAATGTCCACTCTGCCTGTGAAAGGAAGAAAGGAAGGAAGGAAGGAAGGCAGGCAGGCAGGCAGGCAGGCAGGCAGGCAAAAGCAGTTCAGGAACCACGCCCCAAGTCCCATAGCCTGGAGAAGACCGGATTCAACCAAAGTCCACGCTGCTCTTGCTGTGAGCCACGAACCACCCATAATCATCGCCCTGACGTCCTGCCCCCGCCCCCATCTAGTCCCACCATGTACCACGCCTGGGCTCGGTTCTGGGCCCCTCCTTGTGACGAAACTTTCTCTGGGTTCAGGGGTTGATCTGCCCAAGTTGGACTCTCAGATTCATCTCTGAACAGGCAAACGGATTCAGTGTCTGAACGTCAGCTGCCTTGTGTGTGAGGCAGGGGTGGTCATCGTCCCTGCCCGCCCGCGGAGTACTGCAAAGGTGAAGTGAGACTGCCTGCAGGGCACTTGCAAGGCTCTTGGTCACAGCAAGCACTCGGAATGTCCGGCGGTGGGCATTGGGCTTAGCCCTTCAGATTCCAGTCCCTGCCACCCCTGGGAAGACCCAGATTGAGTTCCAGGCTCCTGGTTTTGGTCTGATCCAACCCTGGGTGTTGCAGACATCCGAGGAGTGAACCAGCTGATGGGAAGTCTCTGGCTGGCTGGCTCTGGCTGGCTGGCTGTCTGTTTCCGGTCTGATGTGGGTATCACATCATCTCTTTTTTTTTTTTATGCCCTATCTGCAGTAAATATCTGTCCAGCTGATTGACCCTACAGAATGCTGTATTTATAGGCGCTACATTTCTCCCCAGGTTGCGGGAGTTTTCTGGACTATTCCATGCTTTTTTGGGTAGTGAAGATCGGATAAGGAGAGTGGCTAGTCTTTAACAGGGATTGTTCCTGGTGCACGATCAGCAAGTCGGGACCTAGTCGGTCCAGGGTCCCGACACCATGGCTAGAGGGCCAGCCCTAGAGAACATGGGGTCGAACAGCAGCGATTCCACGTTGCCGAGAGCCCTGCGCCTCGGTTTGGTTCCCACAAAAACTTTCTAGTTGGCTGAGGTCAGTCTGAGCGACCTTTATTTCCCACCATCGTTTGGAGCGCCCGTCTGCCTAACATCTCTGCACGACCGCTCGTGCTTGGAAACACACCAGCCTTTCTGGGACGGCACGCCAAGCTGGTCCCGCGGTATTTTTAGCTCCTGTAATCTTTCTTCTCTCTTTCTTTATTCCTACCTGTGCTCTCCTTCACTCCTCCCAGCTCTGAGTCCCTTTCTGGCGGCTCAGCTTAATAGAGAAGAAATTGAGCCCATTTATGTTAGCTCTTCTCCTCTTCCCTAACACACACCCGCCCCCACCCTCTGATTTCTAGCAGGATTTAGTTGTTTCTGCTTCCCTCAGATGTTTTTGTTTTAACAGTCAAGCCGTCAACTCCCACACCCATGTGGGAAGATATCTGAGGTTCGTGATGCAGAAGAGAAAAACTTGGGAGGAGACAGAATTTGAAAAGATGCCTGAACTATGAGGCAAACTCTGAGGACCAATGATTTAGACCACATGTGCTGAGCCTGCACCAATCACGCACCAAGCACGTGAACCCACGGGGTCCTGTCTGTGCCCCCAGCACTTGTCACCTGACTCTGGAAGCAATGACTGCCCCCTTGTCCACTTCCCACCCAAGCCCTGCCCTGCGTCGGCAGCCACACGCCGCACTCACACCCCCAGCTCAGTATGTCCAAGACCAGCTTCTTTGCCATCCCTCACCCGCATCAGAACAAGCAAACCGCTGCTTCTCTGGATTTTTCCACAGCTAGCTGCTAAGCCAGAAACCTGGGAGACGGGATTGGTAACCATAACGTGCTGAGCCAAGCCTAAAGCTAAAGGGAAATCAGAAATACAGATCCTGCCTTTATTTAAAATGTTGATATTTTGTTCATCATGGATTTTTTGCATTCACATATTTTTTTAAGGAAGAGTTTTTTTTTTTTTTTTAATAGATTTTGTTGGCCGGTGCCGCGGCTCAGTAGGCTAATCCTCCACCTGCAGCGCCAGCACCCCGTGTTCTAATCCCGGTCAGGGCACCGGATTCTGTCCCGGTTGCCCCTCTTCCAGGCCAGCTCTCTGCTGTGGCCCGGGAGTGCAGTGGAGGATGGCCCAAGTGCTTGGGCCCTGCACCGGCATGGGAGACCAGGAGGAAGCACCTGGCTCCTGGCTTCAGATCGGCGCAGTGCCGGCCGTAGCAGCCACTTGGGGGGTGAACCAATGGAAGGAAGACCTTAAAAAGAAAAAAAAAAAAAAGATCTATTTTGTTAATTTGAAAGGCAGAATGACAGAGAGGGAAAGACAGAGTGAAAAGACACAACACTGGCCTCCACTTATTTTTTTTAAATATTATTTATTTACTTATTTATTTGAAAGGCAGGATGTCAGAGAGAGGGAGAGACAGGTCTCCCACCCGTTGGTTTACTCCCCAAATAACTGCAATAGCCAGGTCTAGACCAGGTTGAAGCCAGGAGCCAAGAAATCCATCCTGGTGTCCCATGTGAGTGGCAGGGACCCAAGCACTTGGGCCATCCTCCACTGCCTTCCCAGGTGCCTTAGCAGGGAGCTGGAGCAGATGGAGAGAAGGCAGGACTGGAACCAGCACACGGATATCAGATTCTGGGATCGCAAGCGAACAGCAGCCTCACTTCTGTGACGCAATACCAGCCCTCATTTATACAGTTATTATTATTTTTTTTGACAGGCAGAGCAGACATTGAGAGAGAGAGACAGAGAGAAAGGTCTTCCTTTGCCGTTGGTTCACCCTCCAAAGGCCACCGCAGCCAGCGCACCGCGCTGATCCAAAGCCAGGAGCCAGGTGCTTCTCCTGGTCTCCCATGGGGTGCAGGGCCCAAGCACTTGGGCCATCCTCCACTGCACTCCCTGGCCACAGAAGAGAGCTGGACCGAAAGAGGGGCAACTGGGACAGAATCCGGTGCCCCTACCGGGACTAGAACCTGGTGTGCCGGCGCCACAGGTGGAGGATCAGCCTATTGAGCCGTGGCGCCGGCCTCAGTTTTTTTTTTTTTTTTTTAGATTTATTTATTTATTTGAAAGTCAGAGATACACAGAGATAGGAGAGGCA